CTTCTTACCTCAAGCTGACTCTGGACCACTACTCACCCATTCTAATAACCCCAGAGGCAAGTACCAGAAAACTGGTGATAGTCTCTAAAACCAAGAGCACCCTGAAATTATTCAACTAGACAATTAAACTAGAGAATCCTAAGCCTGCTTGTCCTCCCTTGTCTATTCTTCCCTGCAGAAACCACAGTAAAACCTGTTGTCTACATTTTTCTCTCATTCTCTCTGCCTTCTGACCTATCCTGGTGCTTTCCCATGTGATTTTGTGTGCCATGTTATGCCTCCTGTTTTTAGGGATCTGTGAGTATAAGTTTCATTCATGACAGTCATTTCTGTGTCTGTGTATCTCACCATACCTGATTACAACAAATCTTGGGTACCATTACAACGCACACAAAGAATAAATACTAAATGATTACATTTATAAAAAGTTCAAACTTGAAATATTGGGGGGTTCGCTTTGCAAATTCTATGACTGTCTAACCACTATGCTGTACACCAGAAACTAATATAAAAATAATATTGAAAATCAACTGAAATTGAAAAATGAAATTTAAAAAATCAGGCATAATGAATTATGGTGTTAGAAGCCGGAGTAGTGATTATTCTGGGAGGAGATATAAGGAGGCATGAGGGGAGCTTTTGGTATGCTAATAATCTGTTTCTTGACCTAAGTGCTGGTTACAACGATGTGTTCAGTTTGTGCAAATCAACCCAGCAGTATATTACAATTTGAGTACATTCTTTATGTATATAATACTGAACAGTTGCATTATTGTTTCTGATTCTCTCTCTCTCCCTGGATCCCTTTCTTTTGCTATCTAACTTGGCAATACTCTCCCACTCTTACTCTGGAATCCAACATGTGATTTTATTAGGCCAATAGAACAAATAGGAGGTAAGAGTGTACTAGCTCTTGACCTGAATCCCAAGAGGTCTTATATGTTTCTTGTACTCTTGTGCTTCTGTTACTGAGATTAGAGAGAGAAGTTGGGACTAGCTCACTCATCCTGGGATGAGAGCCACGTGAAATAGAGCTACCTCAGCTGAGGTTCCCCATCCAAACCTGTCGGGGAGTGGTCCCCTCAGTTGCTCCACAGACGAATATATGTGCACAGGGAAGATCAGCTACCCCCTTCCTAGGTCAGCTGCCCCCCGCCTGACTCAAAAATGCGTAAACGGAAGATAGTTGGTTTTGTTAAGCCACTGACTTCTTGGGTAGTTTGTGATGCTGCAAAGGCTAACTGGTAGAGTAGTGGGGGGAAAATTAATGAGGGTCAAATCACAAAGTTCTTCCACTGAGTTGTGTTTGAAATGTCACATTGCGTATTCTCCTGATACTGTATGGCATCAAGAAATCTATAGTTTCCTGTGTCTATGGGCCAGCCTTCCAGGGAAACTATAGCTAATGAGGACAGAGGAAATGTAACAACTGGGAATGGCAGAGGGAGGATCTGGACCTGGGTAGGGCACAGAGGGGAAGGTAAATTGGTTCAGCTTTGGGTAGGGTTGAACTGGAGGTCTCTGAAGGACGTTGGAGGAGTTGTTCAGCAAGGAGCAAGTGCAGATCAGAAGTGCAGGTCTTTGCAGGAGATCTAGACTGGGGTGTCCTCAACTAGCAGGTGGTAACTGAGGGAGCCGGGACTGGGTCTGCACGGTAAAGCCAGTACAGAAGCAGCTCCAAGAAGCTGTGAGAGCCAACACCTGATTACTCCATGCGAAGGGCTTGGGTCAGTGTGGGTGATTCTTACATGGTGAGCAGCTGGAAGTGGAAGTGCTCCGATTGCTACTCAACGTATTACCTAACAGGGAGATGATAAGCACCCCTTGGTCAACAAACGGAGGGTGCCCTGTAGCACTAAAGGGTCATCACATACCACAGGTCCCAGGGATTAGACAGGACAGTGTGCCTTTCATTGGAACAGCCTGTGCAGCAGGGTGGGAGCGATGAGGAAATACTGGGTGGGGCTTCTGAGAGGCCATGAGTTGGACCTACGGGAAGAATGAAAAAAGGGCCCAAGAAAGGAGACAGGGAGGGACACAAGTGCGCGCGCGCACACGCACACACGCACACACACTGAGCTGGAGCCTGAGGTAGGGGCCACAGGTGGAAATGAACAGCGATAAAGTCCACGAGGAAGGTGGGACAAAGGTGCACCCTAGTGGGGGGAAGAGGAGGCGGGCCCAGAGGAGGCACAGAACACAGAAGGGGCAGCCCAGGAAGGCCGGATGCCGAGTTCGGAGAAGGGAATAGAAAACGGGCGAGGCTGGAGAACCACGGGGTGGGAGTGAGAAGGGCGGCCAGGACGGGAGGGAGCCCTGTCTGCGTACTTGGACGCAGCAGCGTCACCAACGGCATCGCCCTATGGAGCCCGGCTCATCCGCTCCAGGAGCTGGGAGAGGGCGTCTCCCGGGAGAAGTCCTAGACGTCGGCCTGAAGCCGGCGGCTCCAGGGGTTCCCAGGAGGAGAGGCTAGGGCGGGCCGGCAGGGTCGCTGCTCCCGCGGAAATCCGTGCTTCCACACCCACGCGGCACACGCGACTCTCTGGCAGGGGCAGGAGGCCCAGGGGCGCATCCGGGCGATCCAGAGAAAACCGTGGAGGATTAGGGCTGAGAGAGGCTGGTACCTGACTGGAGGCGCGGTGGTGGTGCAGAGGGGCGCTGAGACTGAGAGTGCCGAAGGAGCGCGGCGCCCCAACTCAGAGGGGCTTCGGGACGCGGAAAGTGCCTGGATGACGGTCCGCGCATCGAAGGAAGGAGCTGCGGTTGGGTGGGAGCGGGCAGTGGAGGAGCCAAGGGAACCAGAGGGGTTGAGGAGATCCTGGCTTGGGGTGGCTCGAGGGTAGGGGCCGCGTGGCTCCACAGAAGATGTGTGCGGGGGCGCGAGGACGTTCCCCGCTAAGTCAATCGCTCGGGTGGTTTTCTCTCTTCGTCTAGTCCCAGAAGCTGCAGCTTCAGAGGTTGATGCGTGAGGAACAAGTTTTCGGAGGGCAGTCTAACGCGGAGAGCAGTGGCGGGCGGTGGAGAGAGTGGCCCCGTGGGTGGAGGCGCGGATACATGCTAGTCAAAGGCCCCGGGGCCCGGGACACGTTTTTGGCCCCATGAAACCCTGGGTCCTTCCCCCCACTCCGGCTGCCTCCCGAAGAAGCGCCAGCCCTGCGAAAGGGGTATTGCTGCTGAGCAGAGACAGGGCTGGGCGCGCGCAGGCGGGAGGCAGGGAGGCAGGGTGGGGGGCGGGAGCCAAAGCTAAGGGGCGGACACAGAGTGGTGTCTTGCGCTCCATAAAGGGGCGGTGGGGCCGCCCTCTCCTTTGCGCCGGCAGTGGCCACTGGCGGGGAGCACGGCACGATGTCCGTTCACTGCCAGCAGAGCCCGGTGCTGGCAGGCAGCATCACTTTGGCGGTTTTGGGAGCAATGACACTGTACTTCGGGGAGCCCTCAGGCTACGGGAAGCACGCGGGGAGCCCGACCATGGCTGCCCACTTGCCCGCAGGCGCCGCCTGGTTCCTGCAGGAGCTGCCCTCCTTCGTGGTACCGTTGGGGATGCTCGTCTGGCAGCCCCGCGCTCTCTTTGGCCCGCCTGCGACTGTGCTTCTGGGCCTCTTTTGTGCGCATTACTTCCACAGGTAGCGTTTCCCCTGCGGGCGGGGTGTGCGGAGCGAGGCCAGCGTCTCGGTGTCCAGGAG